GCCCGTCGGCTGCTTTCTTCTGCATTGACTTCGCTCCGACATGTGCCGCTGCTGTACAAACAAGAGGTACTGCCGTTTGCAGTCCTATCTGTGACGAGGTTGCCCCTCTTCGCTCTTGCGCTGACACGATGCCGTTGTGTCGCCTACGGCACGGACGTCGTCCGGGTGTGCCTGTCGGTCCTGCTCGTATCTGACGGGCCTTGTGCCGACTCGCACCGAGTGATTGTCCTCTGCGTGTTTATGGTCGCGCCGCCGCGCCATTTTGGCTGCGCTTACTTGATGGTCGCCACCGGGGGTTTCCACGCCACCGGGTTAGGAGTTTCGTTGTTGGCTCTTCTTCTGAGTGGCTGCCCGCGCGCTCGCTTCGCTTGCCTCTGTTTTCTTGTTGCCTAGTCGCGGCCCGGCTAATGTTCGGACGGTTGTCGACCTGCTTTGCGAGCCTGCAGACCAAAAGTATCCCCACCAGCCCATCCAGAAACGATCAGCAGGAGAGTTGGTGAATCAGGGGCGGCAGGACGCATGCACTCGCGCAGCCGTCGTCGGGAAAACAAGGATCACAAATAGTTGCCCGCGCTGAAGTTTAAGATGGAAATCGGTGCATGCTACGATGGTGTTTCAGGGGTGTTTCGATGACTCGCAATGGCTGTTGCACTGATCTGTATCTTAAACACGCGTGCGTTTCGAAACTTGGAGCCATCTTGGGGCTCTCTTAGGGTTTTCTTGGGGCCCTCTTGGTGCCTTCCTGGAGCTCTTTCTTGGGACTCTCTTGATGTCCTCTGAGGGCCTTGTTGGAGCCTTCTTGGGGCTCTTTTGAGGCGTCTTGGGGCTCTTTTGGGGGGTCTGGAGGCCGTATTGGGGGTCTTCTGGGATGCCTGAGGGGCCTCTTGGGGCCGTCTTGGGCCCCATCGCTAAAAAAACGGGGGTCCTTAATTCCTGCCCCCCCTCGGAGGCTCAAACATGCCGTCTTGGGTTTTTTTTGGCCCGCTCTTGGGCACTCTTGGGGCCGTTTTGGGGCCGTCTTGTTCACGGCAGGGCAAGCTCCATGTTTTCGCCAGGGTCGTTCGTAAACGGTTCACGGCTCACGAATACGGCTTGCGACGTTGTCTAAGGCGACAGTATACATGCCCTACGCTACACCAGCCTTGGCACACGCTTCTCCACTGCTCGCAACTTCCCCTTTCCCCACGAACGCCCCGCTCGCCTGCCACCCGCCCTCCTCTGGAGAGGGAGGAGGAGGCGGAGGAGGAGGAGGAGGACGGCCCGCCTGGCCCGACCGGGCCCGACGCGACCCGACCAGACCCGACCGATTCGCTGGCAAACTTGGTGATGCACCGTACCGTAATGTCCAGCACCCGACCCGCCCGCGAGGCTCCGCCCGCCCGACACGACCCGCCCGCCCGATGCGCTGGCCAACTAGATCAGGGATCGTGGCCCCGCCCACCCGACCCGACCCGCCCGTTAAGGTCCGCCCGTGCGACCCGACCCGCCCGTTCGAGTCCGCCCCCGCAACTCGACACGCCCTTTCGCTGACCCACTCGATGACGCATCTCATCTTAATGTCCCGCCCGCGCGACCCGACCCTTCGGTTAGGCTCCGCCCGACCCGACCCGCCCGCTCGTTAGGGGCTCGGGTGTGTTGGTATCCGCCCGCCCGACCAAACCCGCCCGTTAGGGTCCGCCCGCCCGACCCGACCCGCCAGTTGGGGTCCGCCCGCCCGACCCGACCCGCACGTTTGAGCCCGCCCGCCTGATCCGCCGACTCGACGATGCATATAATATCCAGCCCGCCCGACCAAACGCCCAGCCTGCCCGACCGAATATCCAGCCGCCCACCCTGCCCGACCCGCCCATTAGGGTCCGCCCGACATGACCCGCCCGCCAGGTTTGTTGGCCAACCCGATGACGCATCGTACTTTATGTCCCTCCCGACCCGTCTGTTAATTAGTGTCCGCCCTCACGACCCGACCCGCCCGTTTCGGGGTCCGACCCACCTTTCAGGATTTGCCCGCCCGACCGGACCCGCCGACACGGTTCGTTGGCCAAGTCCATGGGGCACGATGTTTTAATGCCCCGCCCGTTTGACCAGATGATGGTGGTGAGGTCGACGAGGAGGAGGAGGAGGAGGAGGAGGAGGAGGAGGAAAAACAGGAGGAGGCGTACATGTTGCCAGCTATGTCACGACGTTCCTGGCACCCTGCTACACAGACACGGCAGCTGTGGAGGTCACCGGGACGTAGCTGCAGATGAGGAGGCGCCCTTGTTTCTGAACATTCTGGTCAGAGCCAGTAAGGACACTCTCCTTCCTCTTTTCTCCAAGAGGCTGCTTCTGCCTGGTGCCTCCCGATCGGTGGCTCGGAGGCGGTCCCGAGGCCATATGATGGCATGTCTCCTTCGACGGCAGCTGGATGGATCAGCACCGCCCTGCCAGCGCCCAGGTCCTCACCTGGGCCGTCGTCTCAAGTGCTCTCGAGTGCCCATGTCGGGTCCTCTCTGTCATGTGCGGCTGCCTTCGTCTCACTTGTCAAGACGTTGACGCGGCAGAATTATGTGCCTTTTATGCGTGCGTTCCAGCATCCCTGCGATGACACTTTTTTTACACGGACTCTAGTTTTGCGCACGACGGGGTTCACCTTCGTTGCAAGGCGTGGTGCTTGCTCCTCCAAAGCCAGTTGGGCCGAACGCTGGGTCAAGGTCTGGAGCTGTATCTAGGACAGTGGTGGCCTCGAGGTTCTCGAGCTGCACACCAGATTCGAGAAAGAGGACAACAGCCATGCCAATGACTGGGCCCAGTGGATGGCTCAGCGTGGTCGAGTGCGCACCGCCCGCAAGAGAAAGGGTGACGTTCTCTGTCGCTGGGCTCTGTGGGTTGCACGCATCGGGCTCCTCATGTGCGATCTATATCGCTTATATATATATATATACACATACATGTGTGTATATGTATATGTATGTATGTATATATATATATATATATATATATCGAGGCGGCAGAGAAGCAGCAGCACGGAACCCCACGTGTCTGTTTTCTCGGTGTTGCCGCCGCCACCTGTCTGTCCGCCTAGTCACTCTCGCGTTGATATGGCCTGCGTACGAGTCATGCAGGCAGGCGACAGAGGGAGCATGCTGTGCATCCCTTCGCCGTCCAAAGGGGAGGGGGGGCGCAGATTTGGTGGGTGGTGTTCTGTGTGCGGGCTGGGTGGAGTGCAGGGCTCGGCCAGGCTGTGCTGGCCGACCGCCCCCCGGCAGCCTGGGAGCGCGGGTGCTGGCAGGCCTCGAGCGCACAACGGCGCGCTTTCAGATGGCCAAGGAATGACACTTGCTGGCTGAACCACCTCGTACTGCAGCTACGATTCCAGCAGGACAGGCGCCACTGTAGGCCTGCGGTGGCGTAAGCGGCCTGTGGCGCGAACGACCGCGTTCGTCGAGGAGGAGGCGTAAATGGACGAGGAGGAGGAGGAGGAGGAGGAGGAGGAGGAGGAGGGGATGTGCGGGAGAAGGAAAGGAAAGAGGAGGGAAATGCGACTGTATCAAAGGCGACGGTGATATCGATGACGTGAACATGTGGATGACGAAGTTCGGCGGTTGTCTACATGTGATTGGCCCTTCCTCCTTAGGCTTGGTATTAGCTACGTAAGTTACCCTGGGTTTCTGACAGGCTGCCCCAGGGCCGTGGGTAGTGCCTTGGGTAGCCTTCCTTACGTATACTGCAGGCCTTCGTGAACGTCCTCTCCTGGCCTACCCTGCCCCAGACCCGTCCTGGGTTTGCCCCTATAGGTCCCAAGGAAGGCCTCGGGCAAGCATTGCATAGGCGACCTTCGGTTGCGCAGGCTATCCGTTAGCCTTGGGAAGAGCCCAAGGTTGACTTGGCCTAGGGATACACATGCCTTCCTAGGCGCCTCCCAGACCGATTCAAGGCCTGCCTATACATTGCCAAGGCCCACCCATGCCTACCTGTGGGTGTGCCGTAGGCCTACACTCCAGGCCTTTGCCTTAGGAGTGCCCTGTGCGTACCGTCGGCCCCGGAGGAAGGCCCACCGTGGGCCTCCTTGGCTTTGTATCAGGCTTGCCGAAGGCCTTCCCAAGGCCTGCCTACAGCTTTCCTAGGCCTTCGTAGTGGCCTTCCGTAGGCCGACCTGGGCCTTTTCATAGGCTTCTCTGGGCCTACCTTGACAAGCCCTATGCCATTCTGCAGCCTTGGTTAGGGCCTGCCTTGCGCGATCCTAGGTCCCTGGTAGGGCCCCCTTGGGCCTAGGATAGCCAAGGGCCCCCGGGTTCAACACCTTGGGGGTATCTTTCTGTTCGGGCCCCCTAGGAAGTTTTTTGTTTGGCAATCCGCAGGAGAAGAGTGGGGGGAAGCCATCGACAAAGTTGGCTTCGCGATTCGTGCGGGAAGAGGAGGGAATGGTCCGCCTGCCCCGCCGTGTTCCTGATCCTCCCTCCCTCCCTTCTCCTCTCCCTCCCCCCCTTTTCTCTCTCTCCCTCCCTGCCATACCAGTATCCCCTCCTGGTCGCCCGTACCCTTCCCTCCCTCCCTCTCCTTCTCCCTCCCCCCACGTCCTGTCGCACTTGTGGGAACGTTTGCGACGGGGGGGCGAGGGGGGCCTACAGCACCAGGGAGTCCTACAGCACGGTCCGCACGCCTCCGCCACCCCCGCACTCCCGCCTCGCGTTTCGGCGCCGGGCGACGCCGCTCTCTCGAGCTGTTGAGTTGTGGTCTCCGATCGCGTCCGCACCCGCGGCCAGCCTGTGAAAAAGGGAGGACGAGGAGGCGCCCGAGACCGTCAAGCCAACCGCGCTTTCGGTCTGTGGCTCACCGTCGCACGTCGAACGGGTGGTCGCCCCCCTTTGCTGGACCGCGTCCGTGCTCTTGCCGCCCGCCGTCGGCGCGAGGCTCGTCCCCCGCTCGCGTGCCGCCCCCCCTCTCAACTGCAGAGGGAGGAGGCGAAGCGCGGCGCCACCTCACACGACGGGGGCGAGGCGGGCGGGCGGCACCGCGGGCAGGAGAAGAAGCACAAGAAGGACAAGAAGGGCAAGAAGGACAAGAAGGACAAGAAG